TCTATCTCGAGAACGGTCAATATTTCCACCCTAGAGACCATGATTTTCGGAATCAGCGTGCTGAGAAGGCTCTGTGAGCCAATTTTCAGCCAAATCGGGATGGCCCGGTCATGGGTGGTAAGAACTTTAGAGGGTTCTATCTCGAGAACGGTCAATATTTCCACCCTAGAGACCATGATTTTCGGAATCAGCGTGCTGAGAAGGCTCCGTGAGCCAATTTTCAGCCAAATCGGGATGGCCCGGTCATGGGTGGTAAGAACTTTAGAGGGTTCTATCTCGAGAACGGTCAATATTTCCACATTAGAGACCATGATTTTCGGAATCAGCGTGCTGAGAAGGCTCTGTGAGCCAATTTTCAGCCAAATCGGGATGGCCCGGTCATGGATGGTAAGAACTTTAGAGGGTTCTATCTCGAGAACGGTCAATATTTCCACCCTAGAGACCATGATTTTCGGAATCACCGTGGTGAGAAGGCTCTGTGAGACAATTTTCAGCCAAATCGGGATGGCCCGGTCATGGATGGTAAGAACTTTAGAGGGTTCTATCTCGAGAACGGTCAATATTTCCACCCTAGAGACCATGATTTTCGGAATCAGCGTGCTGAGAAGGCTCTGTGAGCCAATTTTCAGCCAAATCGGGATGGCCCGGTCATGGATGGTAAGAACTTTAGAGGGTTCTATCCCGAGAACGGTCAATATTTCCACCCTAGAGACCATGATTTTCGGAATCAGTGTGCTGAGAAGGCTCTGTGAGCCAATTTTCAGCCAAATCGGGATGGCCCGGTCATGGGTGGTAAGAACTTTAGAGGGTTCTATCTCGAGAACGGTCAATATTTCCACCCTAGAGACCATGATTTTCAGAATCAGCGTGCTGAGAAGGCTCTGTGAGCCTGGCCCGTTTCTCGCTGCTGGACTCGCTGCGAGGGTTCCATCTCGAGAACGGTCAATATTTCCACCCTAGAGACCATGATTTTCGGAATCAGCGTGCTGAGAAGGCTCTGTGAGCCAATTTTCAGCCAAATCGGGATGGCCCAGTCATGGGTGGTAAGAACTTTAGAGGGTTCTATCTCGAGAACGGTCAATATTTCCACCCTTGAGACCATGATTTTCGGAATCACCGTGCTGAGAAGGCTCTGTGAGCCAACTTTCAGCCAAATCGGGATGGCCCGGTCATGGGTGGTAAGAACTTTAGAGGGTTCTATCTCGAGAACGGTCAATATTTCCACATTAGAGACCATGATTTTCGGAATCAGCGTGCTGAGAAGGCTCTGTGAGCCAATTTTCAGCCAAATCGGGATGGCCCGGTCATGGATGGTAAGAACTTTAGAGGGTTCTATCTCGAGAACGGTCAATATTTCCACCCTAGAGACCATGATTTTCGGAATCACCGTGGTGAGAAGGCTCTGTGAGACAATTTTCAGCCAAATCGGGATGGCCCGGTCATGGATGGTAAGAACTTTAGAGGGTTCTATCTCGAGAACGGTCAATATTTCCACCCTAGAGACCATGATTTTCGGAATCAGCGTGCTGAGAAGGCTCTGTGAGCCAATTTTCAGCCAAATCGGGATGGCCCGGTCATGGATGGTAAGAACTTTAGAGGGTTCTATCCCGAGAACGGTCAATATTTCCACCCTAGAGACCATGATTTTCGGAATCAGTGTGCTGAGAAGGCTCTGTGAGCCAATTTTCAGCCAAATCGGGATGGCCCGGTCATGGGTGGTAAGAACTTTAGAGGGTTCTATCTCGAGAACGGTCAATATTTCCACCCTAGAGACCATGATTTTCAGAATCAGCGTGCTGAGAAGGCTCTGTGAGCCTGGCCCGTTTCTCGCTGCTGGACTCGCTGCGAGGGTTCCATCTCGAGAACGGTCAATATTTCCACCCTAGAGACCATGATTTTCGGAATCAGCGTGCTGAGAAGGCTCTGTGAGCCAATTTTCAGCCAAATCGGGATGGCCCAGTCATGGGTGGTAAGAACTTTAGAGGGTTCTATCTCGAGAACGGTCAATATTTCCACCCTTGAGACCATGATTTTCGGAATCACCGTGCTGAGAAGGCTCTGTGAGCCAACTTTCAGCCAAATCGGGATGGCCCGGTCATGGGTGGTAAGAACTTTAGAGGGTTCTATCTCGAGAACGGTCAATATTTCCACCCTAGAGACCATGATTTTCGGAATCAGCGTGCTGAGAAGGCTCTGTGAGCCAATTTTCAGCCAAATCGGGATGGCCCGGTCATGGATGGTAAGAACTTTAGAGGGTTCTATCTCGAGAACGGCCAATATTTCCACCCTAGAGACCATGATTTTCGGAATCAGCGTGCTGAGAAGGCTCTGTGAGCCAAATTTCAGCTAAATCGGGATGGCCCGTTTCTCGCTGCTGGACTCGCTGCGAGGGTTCTATCTCGAGAACGGTCAATATTTCCACCCTAGAGACCATGATTTTCGGAATCAGCGTGCTGAGAAGGCTCTGTGAGCCAATTTTCAGCCAAATCGGGATGGCCCGGTCATGGGTGGTAAGAACTTTAGAGGGTTCTATCTCGAGAACGATCAATATTTCCACCCTAGAGACCATGATTTTCGGAATCAGCGTGCTGAGAAGGCTCTGTGATCCAATTTTCAGCCAAATCGGGATGGCCCGGTCATGGATGGTAAGAACTTTATAGGGTTCTATCTCGAGAATGGTCAATATTTCCACCCTAGAGACCATGATTTTCGGAATCACCGTGCTGAGAAGGCTCTGTGAGACAATTTTCAGCCAAATCGGGATGGCCCGGTCATGGATGGTAAGAACTTTATAGGGTTCTATCTCGAGAACGGTCAATATTTCCACCCTAGAGACCATGATTTTCGGAATCAGCGTGCTGAGAAGGCTCTGTGAGACAATTTTCAGCCAAATCGGGATGGCCCGGTCATGGGTGGTAAGAACTTTAGAGGGTTCTATCTCGAGAACGGTCAATATTTCCACCCTTGAGACCATGATTTTCGGAATCACCGTGCTGAGAAGGCTCTGTGAGCCAATTTTCAGCCAAATCGGGATGGCCCGGTCATGGGTGGTAAGAACTTTAGAGGGTTCTATCTCGAGAACGGTCAATATTTCCACCCTAGAGACCATGATTTTCGGAATCAGCGTGCTGAGAAGGCTCTGTGAGCCAATTTTCAGCCAAATCGGGATGGCCCGGTCATGGATGGTAAGAACTTTAGAGGGTTCTATCTCGAGAATGGTCAATATTTCCACCCTAGAGACCATGATTTTCGGAATCAGCGTGCTGAGAAGGCTCTGTGAGCCAATTTTCAGCCAAATCGGGATGGCCCGGTCATGGATGGTAAGAACTTTAGAGGGTTCTATCTCGAGAACGGTCAATATTTCCACCCTAGAGACCATGATTTTCGAAATCAGCGTGCTGAGAAGGCTCTGTGAGCCAAATTTCAGCTAAATCGGGATGGCCCGTTTCTCGCTGCTGGACTCGCTGCTCGCTGCTCGCTGCTAGTTTGACAGACGTCCTTTCAGGGGCTCTTTTCATTAACAAGCATCACGTCCAACGCCGCAAATTATTGTTAACGCAACAATCATCAGATGACCTTTCCGGCAAGACCGTCGCATGTTTCGCCCGGTCTTCTGCGCTTTTATTCCCGTCGATCTCGCAGCGGGCACGCCCCCCTCTGCAGGATTACGTAATTCACAACGCTCAGCGATGTTCAACAAGGTCTTCCATACCTATATCCACCGTCCGCGCCGAGGGTGGAGACATGTCAAGCACCTGTCTGTTTATCACCGGTAGTTGACGAGCACAAGGAAGTATCCAAAAATGGGAACGCTGAATATGTTACACCCTCAAAACACCTAGTCCCAATGAAAATCTAGTTTTTTCCTTTCTTGATGAGTGTAAGTGGCAAAAGGCCTGGTAGGATGGGCACGAGGAATGATCGAACTCAGCATAAAAATTATAAATAAGCCACACAGAGCGACCTATATAAGAGAAATTCCCCCAAAACGATCACGCTTAGAAACACGGAAGACAAAAACCACGCTCATGACGCTCCTTATAAAACAACTCTAAACAGCTAGCATCCAAATAAAATATGTCTATCTGGGATGATATAATACAGCTGAATAATTCTAAACCACTGAAACTGAGTTTACGACAGTAGTTCGGTAAAATCACTGACGTTCCATGCGGTCGTGCGCCCCGAACCAAATGTCACCAATATTACCCCCGGACTGTCCGCGTGTTCGCTTGCATACGTCAGCATCTGGTGTCGCTAGTATGAAACTTCATAACCAGGCGAAAATTATTATACTTGACCTCAAAATGTAAAAAACGCTTCATTTTCCTTAAAATTGCAAGTTAAATGTAGTATAACCCATGTTTTCACCATTCCGTCATTTCAAAAAATCATTAAAAATATCATTCGACGGTCAATTTCCTTGTGCAACGGTCAGATTAAAGATAATTTTATAGAGACTTAGTAGATACTTAAATTAGCGTGCACTTTTTTGAGACGTGATGCACTAATGAGTTTTAGTGGGCGAACGGCCGAAAAATTACCTTCCGTTCCCATAAATGGGAACGCCCGTTCCCATATTTGGGAACTCCGTTCCCAAAAATGGGAACGTTCCTATATTTGGGTACTCATGACCATAGTTCCGCCTACTGATTTGTGAATATGCTTCATTTTGACCTTTGACCTGACCTCAACAGGTCACGTGACCTTAAATTCCAACTTTCAGGATTGCCTCAGAATTCAGATGCATCTCTGATCTCAATCTCCATGAGACCTTTCAATGCCATCTCGCATGGCAGGCTATGAGGCTTATTTTTGGATAATATGGGTGTGTCAAGCTAGGGGGCTTATTTTCAAATATAATCTGGGGGGCATTAAATGCCCCCTTTCCCCTCATCCAAGGGCATCTGGCTGGAGGCTCCTGGCTCAGTCAAGCGTGGATGAAGTATCACCCTGCTACCTATTGATTCCCTGGTATGACTGATCACTGTATATTTCAGCTTTTTTAATGCTAAGCTTCAATAAAATAGATACTTGAGTCAAAACTGAAAAGCACAAGGTCATATTACTGGTACAAAATGGATGTGACAAAAGAAAGTAAGTATTTGTATACTAATTTAATTACCATTTTGATTTAGTAAGTTTCATTTCCTTCATTGTTTTGAGAGCTGTGTTGAGTGCATTTTAATATAGCTGAAAATATATTATTAATTGCCAAACTAGGAATTTGTGCAACTTCCTAATTCAGGGATCACCATACCATGGATTAGGTATTCCTGAATAGAATGCTCCGCCGATATTCCGACCACCCATTTGAATGACAGCCAGTTCGCCAACACGACACCTGTTAGCTTGCATGCTATGGGTGGAGTCAACTGGAGTGTGCCTTCTTGTATATTGTTGCCATTTATTGCTTATTTGTTAGTGATCTTGATGAAAGGCTCTGTGATTCTTCCTTTGGTTTAATGAGAAGTGAAGAATCTAATCATTATGATGATGATGATGATGATGATGATGAATCTCTTAAAATATTTTTTTCCCAGTTTTAATTCCATAAATTAGCGAGCCAAGAATATTGGTCCAGTTTATGGGCACTGCATAAAGGTTTGATGTGTGATAGTGATGCATAGGCGCGGAGCGGGGGGGGGGGGGGCACCATGGCAATCAGTTGAGCTGTTATCCACATAATATATTTCTTCCTCAGACTTTGCCTCCTCGCTGGAGCGGATCCGTGCTGCCATCTGCCGCAGTTCGTTCCTGGCTGTGGACTGCGAGTTCAGCGGACTGTCGACAGGTGGCAGCTCGAGCAAATTTGACACCCCAGAGGAGAGATACGCACACCTGCGGCGAACGGCCTCCGGGTTCCTCGTGATTCAGTTCGGTCTGGCGGCTTTCACTCTGGAAAAAGAGAAAAACAGGTTAGGTTCGCCTTTCGATGCACAGAGAAAAGGGTACCTATCTATATTAGGGGAGCATGGTGCGAGGTCGAGGTGGTATGTAACTGGCAATGTTTTTCGACCTCCATTACAATTATAGTAATGATCCAATCTTCTCATGTTCTCGCAGTTTTATTTGTTATCTTTAAAATGCGTAGTATTCCGACGCTACGTTCTTCATGCGTATCAAGGTTTAAAAAACAAAGATTTTATGTAGGGGAAGGCTGCTTTGCCACTTTCTCCAAGACTGCTGATAAACTGGGCCATTTCTCTCAGGTACAGTCAGGAGACATTCAACTTCTACCTGTTTCCGCGGCACAAGAGCCAAAGCTCGTTCCTGTTCCAGCCGTCGTGCCTGGAGTTTCTGGTTGAAAACGGGTTCGACTTTAACAGGCTCATAAAAGAGGGTAGGTTGTGAGCAGATGGATGGGTATATGCTAAGGTTCTGTGCCAGGTTTTGTGATGCTAAAATCTATTGACAATCTATGAAATGTTTTCTAGCCCAAGTTTAAGAAATGAAGCCTTAGTGTAAAAGATAGATTTTATGTTAATTAGTTCAACATGAATGATAAGATTGACATACCATGTGTTTCTCTGCCTATGCATTCCCTTTCCTAACTGTCTGTCTCCTCGGATCAGTATTTACCCGTTTTTTTCCCATCACTCACATTCGTTTAACTTGCATTCTTCTTTTCTTTTTCCTTCCATGATTCCCGATTTATCCGTGCTCTCTCCCCGTCCCTCTGGTTTGCCTCCTTTTTTCATTTTCATCTTTTTTCTCTCCCTCCCTTTCTCCTCATTCACCCTCATTCCCCCCATTCCATTCTCACCTCCCCCATTCTGTGCCTCCAGGGATTCCGTACCAACGGCCCGCCCAGGTCGAGGCTTTTCGGGACCGACTAGAGTCTCAGCTCCGTGACTCTGAGGCGGCGCCGTCCCCGGCTCAGAAAGGTACCACCGGTACCTCGGCTACTCCTGGTACCACCGTGCAGCCGTCGCCCGTACCGGAGAACCAGGCCGACTTCGTGGAACAGGCCATGTCAGTGATGGTAGGGCCGCGGTAGGGTCATGTCAGTGATGGTAGGACCGCGGTAGGGTCATGTCAGTAATGGTAGGGCCGCGGTAGGGTCATGTCAGTGATGGTAGGGCCGCGAGAGGGTATATGCGGTGCAGTCAATGGGGCTGGGATTGTGCCATAGGCTAGAGGGTGGCATTTACAACCTTTAAGTACCTACTAAGAGTGTGCTGTCCACCTTTTGTCTGAGACATGCAGTTGTAAATGCGCCTTATTTCTTAGCTTATTGCTTTTTCAAATCAAAAGTTTCGTTTATGGTAAAGATTCTTGCTGTATTGCAGTTTTTGTCAAGTTCTCTTCCATCGTACACTTTTCTGCCATTAATGACTAAGCCTTCTTTCTATTCCGTTCGCAGATCCCAGATTGAAAAATTCCTGGAAGGTTCAGAGGAGTACTTGGACTTCCACAACCTCAGCTCATTCCAGCGCAAACTGCTGTACGATCATGTACAAAGCAGGTATGTGATTGTAAACTCACGATGCCATCATAGCTAAGCCAATTGAGCAAGCTTGATGCAGTCGTGCGTGTCAGGCACGACTACTGATGACTGAATCAGCAGAACATATCGACACCTTTTTTTAAACCCCACATTTGTTCTCCCGTGAAGTTCAGACAAGTTGTTTAGAAACCTTCAAAAAAGGTACAGTCACTCGATTTTTCTCAAGTTTGTCTGTCTTGGCAGATCAAGCAATGCCAGAGCAAGCTTACGAACACACAAATTTGATCAGGATCGGACGATTGGACACTTCTAAAAAGAGATCTTTCGTGCTTCCCGGAAATTCACCGGAGAACAGATGTGGGGGCTAAAAAAAGGTGTCGATATGCTCTAACACTGATTAGTGTGATATCAGTCCATTATTTTTTAAGAAATGCTTTCCCGTCTTGACTAGTTTCATTCGAACATCTATACATATGTTCGAATATGTTACATATGTGTTTAATACATATGTAACATAATTCGAATATGTTACATATGTTCGAATATGTAATAGATTGCTCAATAAAGATTGATATGGTAGATTTGTTAATCCAAATTTTTACGATTTGTCGATAAGTTATTCCGGAACTGGGGGTGAATGAGTCTAATAAATGATCCAAGCCCTGCAGCTGACTATTCGCTCTCCTCTTCCTCACAGGGTTAGCACCCCTCTGGAGTTGGAGACACTGTTTCTCTCCGGCAAACAGCGCACCCTGCGTGTGTGCCGACCTCTCAGCGACGAGCAGAGGCGGGAGAGAGCGCGGCGCAGGGTAGAGCAGAGAGTGGACGAGGCCGCCGGCTTCGCGCAGGTCATACAGGAGATCAGCAAGTCGGTTAGTGGGGCGAGAGGAAAGGAGACATTTCTGCTGACCTTGCAAACCTCGCTCATCTTCACTTAGTTTCAGTCGACCTGAGCTGACTTGACCCAACCTGAATTCTGATTCGATCTAACACGATCCTTTCTAACCTTACGCTGACCTGACCTGATCTGACCTGACCTGACCTGTCGCGCAGGGGAAGCCGGTGGTGGGCCACAACATGCTACGGGACCTGCTACACATCATCGAACAGTTCGTGTGCCCGCTGCCAGAGACCTACAGCGACTTCAAGACGGAGGTACACCGCATCTTCCCTAAGTAAGCTCACTGGTTGCTGACGTAACGTTAGCTGATGGTTTGGAGTGAAGTGAAGGGAAATGTCGGAAACCTGATTGTGATGTCATTTTTCTTATTTGGAACAATAAATCACCCTTCATATGTTGTGCACTTACGGCGGCGTTGAATTCCATCCAATGGCTTAAACGTCTAACCAAGGCCTAATCTTACCAAATGCCGTGAATGCGCATTCAGGGCATTTTGTAACATAAATAACTCTTCCTTACTCATTTATTCATTCGTTTAGGCAATATTCATAATCATTCACAGTCACACCATTGTTTGTTTGTTTGTTTGTTTGTTTGTTTGTTTTGTTGGGTTAGGCCCTTTCGGTCGACAAGACCATTGCAGAGCCGGAAGGATGATAGGATTTAGGGGGAGACATTGGTCTGGGCAGGCACCCTAGTGAGTCGCCGGGGCTGAGCCCGTCCAGAGGACAGGCCACCCAGCCCCAAGGCACTCACTGCACCCGGCTACGGGGTGCGCTCCCTCGAGAGCAGCGGTGCCGCTCCAAGGGAGCAGCCCGCATGAGATAAAGTTGCTCTCTCCGACTTTAACTCCGACTCCGACTCCGACTCCGACTCCGGATGGTTTTTATTAAAATCCATACCATGATATTAAAGTTCATAATGGAGACGTTTTTATCTTGCCTGAAACGATCCCTTGTGCGTTCCAAGGCTTTGCGTTGCAAATATGCGTTAAAAATAACATGCAGGATTACAAAGTCTTTGAAGTCTTTGGCTTCAAAATTTGTTGATAAGGATGTTAAGAGTTTTTGGAAGGAAGTAAGCAATGTCAAAGGAGCAAAGATTCCGAGACCAAATACAATTAATGACGTATCTGGTGAAGCTAACATTGCTTCTTTATGGCAAACACATTTTAAGGATCTGCTTAACTCCGTGCCAGATAGCATGACAGACAAAGATAACGTATGGAATACAGAAGAGGATAATGAAATAGTACCTGTTACTGTTGAGGAGGTCAGGCATGCTTTGTTCGAGCTGAAAAAGGGTAAGGCAGGACCGTGGTCCCGATCAAATATCTCCTGAGCATCTCCTACATGCTTCACATAGGCTTGTGACATTACTATGCTTGTGTTTCAATGCTTTCCTTCTTCATGGTTTTGTCGTACTGCGCTGTGGGTAGCGCGTGGCTGGACGGACGGTCCGTGACAATCTATTGATCTGTGGCTGATCTATTAGAGTGTCCGTCCGAGAGCCGTACGACGGCTGACAGAGCCTGGGGGTCGCGAACTGGTGTGGTAATCGTTACGCCCACCTGGGACGCCCGAGTCGGTACGGCACTTGCGGTGTCGTAACCGGATCGGCGGGAACCAGCAGAACGCTGTTGGACCGGCGGTGAAAGTCGGAACCGAGCACTCGCCCACCAGTGGGCGTCTGGTCGAGCAGGTCTACCCGCTAAGGCAGCCTGAGCACGAACCAGTGGCAGGGTCCGATCAATGACCGTGGTCCGACCAGGGTGTCAGCGCAATGGCCAGTCAGAGGCGTCTTTAAGGGCGCAGAAGCCCACCTCGGTCGACTGTGGCCGGTGCAACCTAGTCAGGTCGTTTGTGTGAATCTCCGTGTTCTTCCCTCGCCTCAGAGTAGCCGCTCTTCTCCAAATGCCCGAGCCGTTTTCTATGTGTATTTGTCTTGTAGCGAACAGCAGAGTCGAGAAACGAATTGACAATGTCGCCGAAAACCGCGGTCATATGCTGGCCGTACAGGGCAGCCGTGGCTGGCTTCTATTTTGACGGACCCCCTCACCACGGACGCCGTATCTTCCTTCAGAGAATTCCTCCAACGGGTAACCACTAGCCCTACCAACATCGCTGCCTAGGAGTCGAGCTATGCCTCACGGCTACTCCTCCAGAGCCACCAAATTCCAGTCAAAGTTGTACCCCTGAGACGGGCGGGACATGACTGGGGCACCCGGGTCACACCGGCTGCCATAACCCGCTGGCTGTCTCACTCGGTAGGCCGGTTTTTATTTTGGCCGATCCCTGCGAACAGCCTGCGCAATCACACTTTCACTGTCCACATTAGAGATATAACGTAACGTAACTATTGCGGGGATTTTTACTGTACTCGACAGTTTTTGCCCCTTGACTTAGGCACCAGGTTTTTTCTAGTTAGGACTTTTCCTGGTAAATACATCCCACAACAAACATCACACATTGCAACACCTCACACCATCAGCAGCAAGATTTACAGCATCAAGTATGAATATTCTACCCCTTTCTGGACACCCTTGCCTTGTTAATCGGACGCCACATGAGCCGAATTAAAGTAAAGTTTGCTTCTCTCTCTTGCTTGGGTCAGAATTAAATAGCTGACAGTAAAGTAAAGTAAAACGAAAGATCTGGCTCATTGCCAGCCTTAGTAATTTCCCCTTCCCTGGCGGTTGCCTTAGGCATGCCGGGAAGACAAAATTAAAAAAAAAAAAAAAAAAAAAAAAATGTCCACAGTCATGACGTCACGACAATGGGCTCCTAAACGTACGGGCAGCGGCCGCCTCAGGGGTGCCGCCGTGACCTTTGCACGACACGTTCTATAGCGTATGGCACAGCGGTTACTAGGAAGGTTGAGGCCAGCGGCAGGCCGGTTTACAAATAACAAACAAACTTGACGCGCAATTGACAACAGGTAACAGATTGATTAATAAGGCGGTGACAATATAAATGAAAATGACAACATGAAATGACAAATCGCATAGATGATCCCTACAGTACCCCCTCGCCAGACATGTCGCGGACAAAAGTGACATGGCGATATCTTACCGGAGGTCGTATGACGCGGCCGGAGCGGGTCGTCCGTAGTATCGGCTGAGGCTGCAATGGTGCAGCGTCAGCCCGAGCGACGGCTGCAGGGCGAGTTGGTGCGTCACCGTAGATCAGAAGCTCGGGGCCGCTGGGCTCATTGCTGAGCGGTGGCGCGGCCGGCGGGCCGCTGGACTGAGTACCGTGCGGCTGCACAGTCGGCAGGTCAGACTGTCGATGACCGGATTCGTCTGGCGTCTCCAGGAAGGCGGCCTTACACCGGTCGATGCTGATGACCTCCTTTTTCTGTCGACGGTCGATGGTGATGGTTTTGGTGGTCCTTTCGGTAACCGGGAACGGTCCGTCGTATGGAGCGTCCAGCGGGTAGCGGTGACAGTCCCTGCGCACGAAGACGTGTGTCGCCGTCTGGAGTGCCGTCGGGACGTACGTGGCGCGCTGGACCGGACGTGGGAGTGTCGGCCGCACCTGAGACATGGCGCGCTTCAGGTCCTGTACGAAGCCGGCTGGTGATGCTGCTGAGGCTTGGCTGCTGATGAAGAACTCGCCGGGAAGCCGCAGTGAGGAGCCGTACACCAGCTCGGCTGACGTCGCCTGCAGGTCCGCCTTGATGGTGGAGCGTATGCCCAGGAGCACCAGCGGCAGCACGTCCGTCCATGACGTAGCCTGGTGTGCACGGAGGCTGGCCTTCAGCTGGCGATGCAGGCGTTCCACCATACCGTTGCAGGCCGGGTGGTAGGACGTCGTCCGAGTTCGCTGGCAGCCCAGGAATCGCTGTAGCTCCGACCAGAGGGCCGACTCGAACTGGGCACCTCGGTCCGTCGTGATGATGGACGGAACGCCGAATCGGGCGACCCAGTGCTCGAGGAAGGCGCGGGCGACCGTGGTGGTGCGGCTGTCCGGCAGAGGGATGGCTTCTGGCCACCGAGTGAACCGGTCGACGCACGTCAGGAGGTACGAGTGCCCTCTTGACGGAGGCATCGGGCCGACGAGGTCCACGTGGACGTGGTCGAAGCGTTGCTGAGGTGGCTGGAAGGTGCCGACGTCAGACTTGGTGTGCCGGCCGATTTTGCAGCGCTGACAGGCGAGGCAGGTTCGGGTCCAGCGGCGCACGTCGCGATCCATACCGGGCCAGACGAACCGCTTAGAGACGAGCTTGACGGTGGCCTCGACGCCAGGGTGCGACAGGTCGTGCAGAGCCTTGGCGAAGGGCCGGCGCAGCGCCTCCGGGAGGACCGGCCGAGGCGATCCGGTGGACTCGTCGCAGAGCAGACAGAGTCCATCGCCGACCGGGATGTGGCGCAGGCGCAGTGAGGTGTCTGAGGCCTCGAGGTCTTCCAGCGAGCTGTCTTCGGACTGGGCCTTGGCGATGGCAGTGAAGTCGGCGAGCGGGGGTCGCGGCTGGGCCACCATCGAGACCGTGCGTGACAGCGTGTCGGCGACCACGTTGTCCTTGCCAGGCACATGGCGGATGTCAGACACGAACTGGCCGATGTAGTCCAGGTGGCGGACCTCTCGTGGCGAGTAGCGGTCGGACGAGGAGCCGATGGCCGTTACCAGTGGTCGGTGGTCTGTGAAAATGATTGCTGACCGTCCTTCGATGGCGTGCTTGAAGTGCCGGACGGCCAGGTAGATAGCGAGCAGCTCGCGCCCGAACGTGCTGTATTTCTTCTCCGCAGGTTGGAGCGTTTTTGAGAAGAAAGCGAGGGGCTGCCACTCGCCGGCGACGTGCTGCTGGAGGACGGCGCCCACTCCGCAGTCCGAGGCGTCGACGAAGAGGGCGAGCGGCGCGTCCGGGACTTGGTGTGCGAGATGTGTCGCCGTGGCCAGGGCGTCCTTGACGTTCTTGAAATGCTGCCGCGCCG